TAAAGATCATTGCCAGAGGCACGCTGAGAGCCTACGCTGCCTCTTTTAGTATCCACGGTGATACTTTGTCTGGTCCAACCGCTTTAGTTGCATCCAGTGTTGTCAACTGTTTCATTACCTCCCCTGCTGTCACCTCTATATCTGATAGTCTTTCATCTAGGTAATCTCTTCTAACTATGGGAGCTGCTCAGGCTCGGTTGTGAACACTCCATGGAAACTGGCATTCAGTACCTCGCAGATTTCCTTGATACTTTCTATATATGCCCCTTCTGTTTTCCTCAGTCTTGTCACTTGGTCATTTATCAATATCTTCCTTCTTATATGGCTATGTAGTAATTTAGGTTGCTTTTTCGCTTTGATTGCAATATCATTCTCATAATTTCTTTCCGACACTTGTCTTATGTTAATGTAATCGTTCCTAGCTCTGTTACATCTAACATGTGTGTGAGTGTGTGTGTGTGTTTGCGAATGTATGACAGCATGAATTAATTGTCTATTACATACCAAATGACCCTTTCACCCCAATATTTGTAATTGGCTTAGCAATTAATTGTATTAAAGCTTCTAGTGACGGTTTTGATGTCCAATAAACGCTCTTTATCTCTCTCCCTGAGTGCCCTGACCCTCCCTGCCCTCTTTGTGTGCCCTGACCCTCCCTGACCCTCACTGTGTGCCCTGACCCTCCCTGACCCTCACTGTGTGCCCTGACCCTCCCTGACCCTCACTGTGTGCCCTGGCCCTCACTGTGTGCCCTGACCCTCACTGTGTGCCCTGACCCTCACTGTGTGCCCTGACCCTCACTGTGTGCCCTGACCCTCACTGTGTGCCCTGACCCTCACTGTGTGCCCTGACCCTCACTGTGTGCCCTGACCCTCACTGTGTGCCCTGACCCTCACTGTGTGCCCTGACCCTCACTGTGTGCCCTGACCCTCACTGTGTGCCCTGGCCCTCACTGTGTGCCCTGACCCTCCCTGACCCTCACTGTGTGCCCTGGCCCTCACTGTGTGCCCTGACCCTCACTGTGTGCCCTGACCCTCACTGTGTGCCCTGACCCTCACTGTGTGCCCTGACCCTCACTGTGTGCCCTGACCCTCACTGTGTGCCCTGACCCTCCCTGTGTGCCCTGGCCCTCACTGTGTGCCCTGACCCTCCCTGACCCTCACTGTGTGCCCTGGCCCTCACTGTGTGCCCTGGCCCTCACTGTGTGCCCTGACCCTCCCTGACCCTCACTGTGTGCCCTGGCCCTCACTGTGTGCCCTGACCCTCACTGTGAGCCCTGACCCTCACCGTGTGCCCTGACCCTCACTGTGTGCCCTGACCCTCCCTGTGTGCCCTGTGTGCCCTGACCCTCCCTGACCGTCACTGTGTGCCCTGGCCCTCACTGTGTGCCCTGACCCTCACTGTGTGCCCTGGCCCTCACTGTGTGCCCTGACCCTCACTGTGTGCCCTGGCCCTCACTGTGTGCCCTGACCCTCCCTGACCCTCACTGTGTGCCCTGACCCTCCCTGACCCTCACTGTGTGCCCTGACCCTCCCTGACCCTCACTGTGTGCCCTGACCCTCACTGTGTGCCCTGACCCTCACTGTGTGCCCTGACCCTCACTGTGTGCCCTGACCCTCACTGTGTGCCCTGACCCTCACTGTGTGCCCTGGCCCTCACTGTGTGCCCTGACCCTCCCTGACCCTCACTGTGTGCCCTGACCCTCCCTGACCCTCACTGTGTGCCCTGACCCTCCCTGACCCTCACTGTGTGCCCTGACCCTCCCTGACCCTCACTGTGTGCCCTGACCCTCACTGTGTGCCCTGACCCTCACTGTGTGCCCTGGCCCTCACTGTGTGCCCTGACCCTCACTGTGTGCCCTGACCCTCCCTGACCCTCACTGTGTGCCCTGGCCCTCACTGTGTGCCCTGACCCTCACTGTGTGCCCTGACCCTCACTGTGTGCCCTGAGTGACACTGCAGGTTAGTGTCACTCTCCTAATGAGTGACACTATGAATTTAACACTAGCGGTTACAGTGTCACATTTCCGGTACTGTTTATCTTGTTATCAGTCTGACCTTGGCCACGCCTCCTTCCTCTCACACTTTCTCCGTCTCCTCCTTCTACTTCTCCTTCTCCTTCTTCTCCTCCTTCTCCTCCTCCTCCTCCTCCTTCTTCTCCTCCTCCTCATCTTTACCATGGTCGTCCCCTACACACACTACCACAACCACCTGCCTTATTCTCAAAGATTATACACAGATCTAATACATTAGTGCAGTGTGCCCTGTAATGTACTCCAGTGGTGAGTACCGTCACTCCCCGGGGAGTAAGCGCCAAGATGTACTCTAGCAGTAACGTTTTGTTGGCCGCTGGTTGAGGGTGCTGCAGGAGCGCCTGTACGGGTAAAGGAGCGGTATACGCCGGCAGCATAAGGGTCAGTATCCCTCAGGTGGAGCCTGTTGCTCCCTGGGACGCCCCGGCACGTGTTCACTACGGGCCAACTTGTGTCTTGTACACTGATGTATTATGGCTCTTTATCGCTTACCCGCCCACTCCTGCCAGTAGGTGGGGGGGGGGGGGAGGTGTTGATGGTGGGAGGGGGGTAAGAGAGAGGGAGGCAAACGCAGGGTAGGTGAGAGAGGGAGGGAGTGAAGGGAAGAAATATTTTTTTTCCACAAAAACATACAATTGTTGCCCGTAGCTTCGGGGCCTGTGTCTAGACTCCTGGGGTGGGGGTGGGGGTGTTCCCTCCTGGGGTGGTGGTGGGGGGAGGGGGGTGTACACCTGGGGTGGGGGTAGGGGGATGTACACCTGGGGTGGGGGGTGGGGTGAGGGGGGTGTCCCCACCTGGGGTGGGGGTAGGGCGTAGGGGGTGTACACCTGGGGTGGGGGGTGTCCCCACGTGGGGGGGGGGGTGGAGGTAGGGGGGGTGTACACCTGGGGTCGGGGTGCAGGGTGAACACCACTGAACCCCCCTGAACACCACTGAACACCACTGAACCCCCTGAACACCACTGAACCCCACTGAACACCACTGAACACCACTGAACACCACTGAACACCACTGAACACCACTGAACCCCCCTGAACACCACTGAACACCACTGAACACCACTGAACCCCGCTGAACACCACTGAACCCCCCTGAACACCACTGAACACCACGAACCCCGCTGAACACCACTGAACCCCGCTGAACACCACTGAACCCCGCTGAACACCACTGAACCCCGCTGAACACCACTGAACCCCCTGAACACCACTGAACTGAACCCACTGAACACCGCTGAACACCACTGAACCCCGCTGAACACCACTGAACCCCCCACCACGAACCCACGCTGAACACCACTGAACCCCGCTGAACACCACTGAACCCCGCTGAACACCACTGAACCCCGCTGAACACCACTGAACCCCGCTGAACACCACTGAACCCCGCTGAACACCACTGAACCCCGCTGAACACCACTGAACCCCGCTGAACACCACTGAACACCACTGAACACCGCTGAACACCACTGAACACCGCTGAACACCACTGAACCCCGCTGAACACCACTGAACACCACTGAACACCGCTGAACACCACTGAACCCCACTGAACACCACTGAACCCCGCTGAACACCACTGAACCCCGCTGAACACCACTGAACCCCGCTGAACACCACTGAACCCCGCTGAACACCACTGAACCCCGCTGAACACCACTGAACCCCGCTGAACACCACTGAACCCCGCTGAACACCACTGAACACCGCTGAACACCACTGAACACCACTGAACACCGCTGAACACCACTGAACCCCGCTGAACACCACTGAACACCACTAAACCCCGCTGAACTCCGCTGAACCCCACTGAACACCACTGAACCCCGCTGAACATCACTGATCCCCGCTGAACACCACTGAACACACTGAACCCCGCTGAACATCACTGAACCCCGCTGAACACCACTGAACCCTGCTGAACATCACTGATCCCCGCTGAACATCACTGATCCCCGCTGAACATCACTGATCCCCGCTGAACACCACTGATCCCCGCTGAACACCACTGAACCCCGCTGAACATCACTGATCCCGCTGAACCCCGCTGAACACCACTGAACATCACTGAACCGTGCTGAACCCCGCTGAACACCACTGAACCCTGCTGAACCCCACTGAACCCGACTGAACCCCACTGAACCCCGCTGAACATCACTGAACCCCGCTGAACACCACTGAACATCACTAAACCCCGCTGAACACCACTGAACCCCGCTGAACACCACTGAACACCACTGAACACCACTGCACCCCGCTGTACATCACATACCTGAACTTACCCACTGTGCAAATATCCCTGGCGGTGGGACCCCATACTAGGAAAAATTCGTTTCAATGGATGATATTCTTTCCTATTGTTGGTGTTGTGGCAGCGGTGGTGTGCCCTAACCCAGCCCGGCACTCCCTTGCACTCCCTGGCACTCCCCAGTGGCACTCCCCAGTGGCACTCTCCAGTGGCACCTCCCGAAGGAAGCTCCGCATTTACTTATTCTCTTTTGACGAGGTTGACTACTTGACAGTCCTGGTCCAGGATTTGGTATGTCTTTACCAGTATTCCTATTGCTTTTGGACATCCAGTCCTCCCTGTTTCCCTTGCTGGGAGTACCGGTTGTGCTTTCAGGTTGTAAGTGATCTTGGACGTGGCACCGGGGTGGGTTAAAGATATTCCTAAATAAACAGCGGGTAAGTTTGCGTGGGGTCAAGCTTCAGTGGGGTCAAGCTTCAGTGGGGTCAAGCTCCAGTGGGGTCAAGGTCCAGTGGGGTCAAGCTCTAGTGGGGTCAAGCTTCAGTGGGGTCAAGCTTCAGTGGGGTCAAGCTCTAGTGGGGTCAAGCTTCAGTGGGGTCAAGCTCTAATGGGCCACTGTTACACTGCTCTATAGGGCACTACAGTGTAAGTCATCAAGGGAGCATGATAGTCATTATAAAATATGAAAGTATACAACACAACTAACAACACAAGCTACAACATGACCTACAACACAAGGTACAACATGACCTACAACACAAGGAACAACACAAGCTACAACATGACCTACAACACAAGGAACAACACAAGGTACAACATGACCTACAACACAAGGAACAACACAAGGTACAACATGACCTACAACACAAGGAACAACACAAGGTACAACATGACCTACAACACAAGGTACAACATGACCTACAACACAAGGTACAACACGACCTACAACACAAGGTACAACATGACCTACAACACAAGGTACAACATGACCTACAACACAAGGTACAACATGACCTACAACACAAGGTACAACAGGAGCAACAACACAAGGTACAACACGACCTACAACACAAGGTACAACATGACCTACAACACAAGGTACAACATGACCTACAACACAAGGTACAACATGACCTACAACACAAGGTACAACAGGACCAACAACACAAGGTACAACACGACCTACAACACAAGGTACAACATGACCTACAACACAAGGTACAACATGACCTACAACACAAGGTACAACATGACCTACAACACAAGGAACAACACAAGGTACAACACGACCTACAACACAAGGTACAACATGACCTACAACACAAGGTACAACACGACCTACAACACAAGGTACAACATGACCTACAACACAAGGTACAACATGACCTACAACACAAGGAACAACACAAGGTACAACATGACCTACAACACAAGGTACAACACGACCTACAACACTACAACACACAACAGGAGCAACAACACAAGGTACAACACGACCTACAACACAAGGTACAACATGACCTACAACACACCAAGCAACATGACCTACAACACACCTACAACACACAGGTACAACATGACCTACAACACAAGGAACAACACAAGGTACAACACAACAAGGAACAACACAAGGTACATGACCTACAACACAAGGAACAACACAAGGTGACCTACAACACAACACAAGGTACAACATGACCTACAACACAAGGACAACACAAGGTACAACATGACCTACAACACAAGGAACACACAAGGTACAACAACCTACAACAACATGACCTACAACACAAGGTACAACACGACCTACAACACAAGCTACAACACGACCTACAACACAAGGTACAATGACCTACAACACATACAACACAAGTACAACATGACCTACAACACAAGGTACAACATGACCTACAACACAAGGAACAACACAAGGTACAACACGACCTACAACACAAGGTACAACAGGAGCAACAACACAAGGTACAACACGACCTACAACACAAGGTACAACATGACCTACAACACAAGGTACAACATGACCTACAACACAAGGTACAACATGACCTACAACACAACTAACAACACAAGGTACAACACGACCTACAACACAAGGTACAACATGACCTACAACACAAGGTACAACATGACCTACAACACGACCTACAACACAAGGTACAACACGACCTACAACACAAGGTACAACAGGAACAACAACAACAATAACAACAACACTGACCTGTCACAATTATACACTACCAGTAATTATACAACCTGACCGTCTCTTCCCTGAAGAACTTAACCCCTTTATTATGCATTAAGAAATTGAAGTAAGGTTCCCGGGCAAGACATTACTGCCGGTACGTTAACACGCGGGAGATCCCTACGATAACACTTGTGCTCTCTCCCTCCCCCTCCTCTCGTGCCTCCTGCGTGTCCCCCTACGTGCTCCCTTCGTGCCTCCTGCGTGTCCCCTACGTGCTCCCTTCGTGCCTCCTGCGTGTCCCCCTACGTGCTCCCTTCGTGCCTCCTGCATGTCCCCCTACGTGCTCCCTTCGTGCCTCCTGCGTGTCCCCCTACGTGCTCCCTTCGTGCCTCCTGCGTGTCCCCCTACGTGCTCCCTTCGTGCCTCCTGCGTGTCCCCTACGTGCTCCCTTCGTGCCTCCTGCATGTCCCCCTACGTGCTCCCTTCGTGCCTCCTGCGTGTCCCCCTACGTGATCCCTTCGTGCCTCCTGCGTGTCCCCTACGTGCTCCCTGCGTGGCCACACAGCCACCCGGGGGGAGGGGGCACCCTCCGTGTGGCCAGGGGGTGTGTGGCTGGGGTGTGTGGCTGGGGTGTGGCTGGTGGTGTGTGGCTGGTGGTGTGTGGCTGGGGTGTGGCTGGGGTTGTGGAGTCTGTTGAACAACGTAGAAGACGGGAAAGAAATAACGTCACTGATAAAAGATAATACACACCCCTTTCCTCTCCGCCCCACCACCCCCCTCCTCTCTCATCTACCCCCTCCCCCACCACCACCACCACCCCTCCTCTCTCATCTACCCCCTCTCCCACCACCACCACCACCCCTCCTCTCTCATCTACCCCCTCCCCACCACCTCCACCACCCCTCCTCTCTCATCTACCCCCTCCCCACCACCCCTCCTCTCTCATCTACCCCCTCCCCACCACCCCTCCTCTCTCATCTACCCCCTCCTCCACCACCACCACCACCCCTCCTCTCTCATCTACCCTCTCCCCCACCACCACCACCCCTCCTCTCTTATCTACTCCCCCCCCCTCCCCCACACACAGTCATCGCTACATAATACATAATTGTAACTGATGCGCCCAAGTTACTCACTGAGCAGGAACGCATTAGAGGCGTGGGTGCTCTCTCTCTCTCTCTCTCTCTCTCTCTCTCTCTCTCTCTCTCTCTCTCTCTCTCTCTCTCTCTCTCTCTCTCTCTCTCTCTCTCTCTCTCTCTCTCTCTCTCTCTCTCTCTTACACACACATATTGAAACAGGGAACATTGGTTCCTAATTCCAGAAAATAGTGAAGTGTAGCCAGCAGTTGGACCAATGAAATTGTCTAGTGATTTACAACATCGAACCCTGTTGATCTATGCTCCTGAATATGCCTGCCTCACTGTTTCCCTGTCTGTCTGTCTGTCTGACTAATCGTTCATTTGATTTTTCCATCTACTTGTATTTATCTGTCTATGTGTTTTTAATTGTGTACGTGTGTAACTGATGTCATAGTGATCAGGCCATCTGTCTGTCTATGGTCGGAGAGCATCATAACATTGTTGTAACTGTGGTTAACAGTGAATGTTCCCTACTCTTGGGACCCGCCCTAAGGGGGGCCTATTATCCTATTTTAAAATGTTGTTTAATATCAACCAGACTTTTTTTTAGCAGTTGTATATAAGAAGGGCTGCAACTGTTCTACGTTTCAGTACCGCAGCCTAAAAAGAGAGGGAGGGAGTTTTTTGTTTTCAACGAATTATACACATTTTCAATAATACTCTGCAACCACAATTATCAAATGAAATCATTTCTATGACACTCATCTTTGAAAATTTTTGACATTAGCATATAGTAAAGGATTTTTATCAAAAGGATTATCCAAAATATGTTTAGTTTTACTAATATAAGTAGTCAAAGTTCCACAAAGAAATATATGCCAATATATCATGTTTGCAAATATTTATAAAATCATTAAATAAAATTAGGAAAAAGGTGTTTTAGAAATGTTGTAGAGACGTCAGCACACATATAAGGTGTAAATTTCATGTAAATTTAAAAAAAAATATTAAAGAGTAGAGTTAATTTTATTACTTGACAATAAATAAGATCAAACATTCTGCCACCTGTGGTTGACGTTGACTTCAACCAATTTCCTCCAAAATTTGCACCTTTACAGATAGACTAACATTCTGTAAGGTGTATAAGTTTCATGCAAATCAGCTGATAAAAAAATATGAGAAAAAAATCGAGAAAAACAAATTTAAGTTTTTTTTTTGTTTGAAATTTTTTTGGGCATAAAACTAAATATTAAAATACTTTATTATATGCTATTGTGATAGCTGAGAGTCATAGACATGATTTCAGTTGTCACTTGTGTTCCATGTTAATTTTTTACCATTTTGGGAAAATTTTGACATATAATTCAATAATTTTTTCTCCCTTCCTATTTATGCTACGATGCTGAGACTTGGACCAGTTCAACCCAATTATATATACAACTAGACAACAAAATTTGATTGAAATCGAACCAGTTTTCATTTATTGCATATTTTTGGCATACCACCCCTCCTCCTTCCCCCCCTCCTCCACCACCACCACCCCTCCTCTCTCATCTACCCCCTCCCCCCACCACCACCCCTCCTCCTTAACGCACACATAAATACCAATAAGTCATCTATCAGATCAGATCAAGCTTATCTATCAGATCAAGTCGTGTATCAGATAAGTCGACAGCGGGTCTATCAGCAGACAATGAGAGGTGAGGTGTATGGGAGCACCCCGTGACCAGGTCAGACCAGGTCAAGTGTATCACGGGTAATGATAGTTGGTGAGACGTGTGGCGCCCTCACTACTCCTCTTGTGGTTACCAGTGTAGAGCAAGAGACACTTCGGCTTGTGAAAGTTGTATACAAGATGGAGGACTGAGAGTGAGGACACTGGGGAGAGGACTGCCTGGTGGGCTCTGGTGCCAAGATGTGTGAGGACACTACACCAACACTCACATGTAGAGTGAAGGTCACACACACACACACACACACACACACACACACACACACACACACACACACACACACACACACACACACACGCTGCTGTTTTCTTATCCTTGACACGTACAGCACCAATTATGTGTGCCTTAAATAGGGATCCATGGTTGGAATACCTCATGTAAGTAACTTCTTAAGAAGCCAATGTTTATACTCCGACCCCGCCCCCCACCCCCCACCCCTTGTGGGCTAATGGTATCTGTCTCATGTTCTAATGGGCTGACTGCCCCTTCAACCTCTTCATCTAATTTCCCCTAATTGTTATTTATTCCTCCGGTAGGGAGTTGAGGTCACTTAAGGATTACTTAACTGTCTGGAGCTTATGAGCTCATTCATTACCCCTCTAAAGTGAACTTTAAGTGGTTAAGGACCATTTGAGGTGAATGAGTCACTACACTTACCTCTAGAAAGTGGATTCATGTTGTCAGGGAGAAGGTTCTGACCCATTTTCCCTCGTCTCACTTCCAGTCCCTGAGCCGGAAATATTAGTGTCAACACTAAGTCACAATCCAGAGTTGTGACGGCAACGTTAATGTTTACTTAATTGTATGGTGTTGTTAGATGGTAACTGCTCTCTCTCTCTCTCTCTCTCTCTCTCTCTCTCTCTCTCTCTCTCTCTCTCTCTCTCTCTCTCTCTCTCTCTCTCTCTCTCTCTCTCTCTCTCTCTCTCTCTCTCTCTCTCTCTCTCTCTCTCTCTCTCTCTCTCTCTCTCTCTCTCTCTCTCTCTCTCTCTCTCTCTCTCTCATCTTTCAATTCTCTCACACACTCTCCCCTTCCCCCGTCTCTCTACATGTCACTTGGCTACATATAACATGTGTACATTATTCATGTCGAGTTTGCATCTAGATCCGTCATAATAGTGGCGTTCGTTTCAATTTGTAATGGACAGGTTATAGAAGCAAACTCTACTCATAATTTTACAAATTGATGTGATTTAGAAATAGGTTAGAAGTCATTGCATTCGACAACCGCGAGCTAGGAAAGCAGGGGTCCAAGAGCTAATGCTCGACCTTGCAAGCACAAATAAGTATATCAACCGTTCATGCACGTGTCAATGGTTGCGAGGATCAACGTCTCCGACCAGGCCTCCTGGTTGTTGGTCTGGTCAAGCAGGCTGTTGGTCACTGTCTCCCCTTCCCTCAGCCCCCCCACAACTAACCAAAGAATCCTCCGAGGCCCTGTTAACTATTTCATAACTAGTTAACTGGTAGAGCAAGGAGTAATGAACAAATCCACAAGGGCCGTGACGATGCTCCCGGACGCAGGTTCGAATCCTCGTCACGGCCCTTGTGGATTTGTTCATTTGATGCATCACGTTAGTGTGATCTCTGTGTGTGGCAAGGAGTAATCTTCCCCCCCCCAAAAAAAAAAAAAAAAATGATGAAACTTAGGACATGA